GCAGCTTCTCTGAAGATCACACCGAAAGGTATGTCTCTTTAATATCTCAATTAGACTGATGTTTCTTCACTGTAATCTCAAATAAGCTCCACGAGTGATTTAAACAAATACATCTTCTCTGTGGGATCTGTGGAAAATTTGAAAAAAAAAAAAAAACGGTTTAAAATGTAACAATAAAAAGACTATAAAAGAAAGTTGCTAAAATACATAGATATAGGGTTAAATAATAAAAAAGGTGTTGTAAAAATATATACAGTAAATAATTGGGAAAAAAAGTACTAAAAAAGTACTTAAAACATTTACTTAATACAATAGATCTAACAGTACAGTATTATATATACTATAGAGAGTAGAAAAATATTGTAATATGTGACCCTGGACCACAAAACCAGTCATAACGGTCAATTTTTCAAAATTGAGATGTATACATCATCTGAAAGATGAATAAATAAGCTTTCCATTGATGCATGGTTTGGCCGAAATACAGCTATTTAAAAATCTGGAATCTGAGGGTCCAAAAAAATCAAAATACTGAGAAAATCATCTTTAAAGTTGTCCAAATGAAGTTCTTAGCCATGCATATTACTAATCAAAAATTAAGTTTTGATATATTTACAGTAGGAAATTTACAAAATATCTTCATGGAACATGATCTTTACTTAATATCCTAATGATTTTTGGCATAAAAGAAAAATTGATAATTTTGACCCATACAGTGTATTTTTGGCTATTGCTACAAATATACCCCAGCGACTTAAGACTGCTTTTGTGCTCCAGGCTCACATATAATAGACACAGGGATAATATAGTTAGCTAAAATTAAAACTAAAACAATAAAAACATTTTTGATGCTTAAAATACTTTAAAATAAAATATAAAAATTGGAAAAGTTTGAAGAAAAATAAACAATAATAAATAATAATGTTATAGTAAATCATAAAATACAGTGTTATAGAAAATAAAAATACACTGATTAAATAATTAAATAAAAAGTGCTTGAATAAAACTTGTCAACTTAAAATAAAATACCATCTTCTATAACATCTAACAATACAGTATATGGAGAGTTGAAAAAATGTAGTAAGGTAATAGAAACACACACACAAAAAATGCTTAAAATACTTATTAAAGTAAAATATATATAAAAAAAATTTTTTTAAATAAAATCTTTAATAAACCTTTAACTACAATTAAAATATAGACAGAAAATATAAAAATTTATTTAAAATGTTAATAAAAATATATTAGTATCTCATTGATACTTAAGTAACACTAAATACTTTTTTCAAATAATATTTTGCACATTTATAAATATATGATTGCTATTATTAGATCAAATATAGATTTTTTTTTCACAGTATAATTTTTTTTTCATACTGGAATTAGGGCTGCACAATTAATCGAATTTCTAATCGCGATTACAATTATGGATGCCACAATTACGTAATCGTTCAAAGCGGCAATTAATCGTTCAAAGTCCACTTATGTTATTCTGCATGCTTAAGATGCGTTTTTTTCTTTCTACATGTTATCTTAAGGGTTTTTCCATTGTTTTAGTTTTAGTATAACATTATAATACCATTCATATTTTTTATAATTGAAAGAAGAAACCAATCTGATGTATATTTGACATTTGAGGCTTAATACTATAGAAAAGCACTAAAGGTTTTTCACTTAGAGTGTTTTCAGCTTGTGTATTTTCATATAAAAATACGGCATGCAGTTGCATCAAACAATGGTATAAACATCATTCAATGTAAATTGTGATAAGCGTAATTAATAATCGCAATTACAATTTCAAGGGAATAATCGACAATTATGATTTTTTTCATAATCGTGCAGCCCTAACTGGAATATATATAGCTGACTTTAACATTTTAAGTTGAGCGTCACTTGCACTCATATCTGCATGTCCATGGCATCTAAAAGTTTTCTCTTTGTCTTCAGGTTCAGATGATTCTCGTGCTAGACCCAGGCTCCCGTTTCCCAGCCTCCCTCTCTCGGCTGCGGCTCGTCGCAGCGCTCGCTCCATAGACTATGATGAGAGCGGGGAGAAGATGCCGTGTCAGCGTCTGCCGCTCTATGTGGACTTCGAGGAGATCGGCTGGTCCGGGTGGATCGTGTCTCCGCGCGGATACAACGCTTACCACTGCAAAGGCTCCTGTCCGTTTCCTCTGGGTCAGAACATGAGGCCCACCAACCACGCCACGGTCCAGTCCATCATCAACGCCCTCAAACTGACCAAAGGCATCGAGACGCCCTGCTGCGTGCCTGACAAGCTCTTCAGCATTAACCTGCTGTACTTTGATGACGATGAGAACGTGGTTCTGAAGCAGTATGATGATATGGTGGCCGGCAGCTGCGGCTGTCACTGACCAACCTCATTCACAAATCTGGACTGGACTGTAAAATATGTAAATAGATATCAAATTTTAATATATGGAGGAGCTTGAGTTGGTCGCTTGTAAATATGTATATTGCATGTTGTGAACTATTATATAATAAACTAAATAAATTCTTACACAAAAATGATGGATAGAGTTGGTTTTTATTTCTGTTTGTTGCCAGATAATTTATACATATAGCAGAAAACAGACCTTTTCTTGTTTCCCCACTTTTCCTTCCCCACTTCCCTTCTTCCCCTCTTTTATCTTTTCAGATTTTTCTTTTTTTTATACTTTTCCCCCCTTTTATTTTTTTCTATCTTACACAAAAATGATGTAGAGTTATGTTTTTTTCTGTGGTTGTTGCTGCAGGTAATTTGTATTGCAAAAACCTACTTTTTTCTTTTCCCTGTTTTTCTTTACCAACTCTTTTCTTTTCTTTCTCTCTTTTTTTTTCTTTTCAGCTTTTCCTTTTTAACCCCCCTCCCCTTTTTTGTATCTTACGCAAAATTGATGCACAGAGCTGTTTTTTTTTTCTGTGGTTTTTGACAGAACAGATATATTGCAAAAAACAAACTTTTTCTTTCCCACTTTTGTTTTTTTCTTTTCCCCTTTTTTCTTGTTTTCTTTTTCCCTATTTTCATGCTCTGCAACCATTCTTTTCTTCCACTATTTCTTTCCTGTTCACTTTTGCCCTTTTTCTTTCCCTTTCTCTTTTCCATTTTTCTTTTCTTCATTTCACTTTTTCTTTCTTTTTTATCAATTCTGTTTAATTTCCCCCTTTTTCTTTTCCCATTTCTTTTTTCTTTTCCCTTTTCTTCTATTTTTTCTTTTCTTCTATCCCCCTTTCCCTTTTCCTTCTCTTTTGCTTTCCCCCTATCTTTTTCCCTTTTTCATTCAACTTTCCACCTTCTTCTTTATCCCCCTTTTATTTTCACCTTCCCCTTATTTTTTTTCTTTTCTTCCCTGCTTTTTTCTCCCCCTTTCCTTTCATACCCCTTTTCTTTTTTCTCTCCTGTTACTTTTTCCTCTTTTTTCTTTTCCATGATTTTCCTTTTTTATCCCCTCTCTTTCTCCTCCACTATTAACAGAGGGTTTTTGAAGTCTTTTCATGCATCTGTTCATTTATCAGCTATCATTTATCTCACATTAATCAACCAATTAGTGATCTGCAGATCCAAACATCACCAGAAGATGGTGACAGAAAAAAAAAGAAAATAGTCCAAAACAAAGAAATACAAACATAACATGTATATAACAGTAAACTTTAGGCTGATCTGTATCTGTCCAGACGAGATATCCCACGTGATCATACAGGAAAAGTGCCAAGAGAAGCAACAGGTGACAGGAGGAGATATGGGCCGTTATCCAGAGAGAAAGTAAAAGAACAGCAGGTAAACAGCTGCAAGCTCAACTGATACCGTTCAGCCTCTGTGCCAACCAATTCAACTCACAATAGTGCGCTGATGCACCAGTGCTGCATATTTAATGCCATAATTGAGATGAATTTGCCGATATGAACACAATACACCAAGCTGCTTTTCATGAGATCTCTAGTCAAAGCACTTTAAAATGACTGAAAGCCGCATGAAGGAAGAGTTTCTCACAAAAGAAATAAGTTATCATAGAGAATTATGGGGGGAAAGTCAAATATAAAATGCTCAGACACATTAAAGTAATGAGCAGTGTTGTTATGGTTAAACATTTTAATTTATATAAAAAGCTGAAAGACAATAAAATTAGAAAAATAAAAAAACTAAATGAAAATACAAATGTTTCTTTGGCAACTAACTTAAGTTTAAGGTGAAGAACTAAAATTACTAAAAGTGAAACAAAAACTATTTCTAAATATTAAAAAAAACTAAAAACATAAAATCACTAAAACTAGAATATTGTTGTACTATATTCAGTATTATTATTCAATATTATAAAACGGAGAGTTCCGGTCCTTGATTCTGATTGGTTGAGCCACGTTCGAAGCTGTCGTAAATTACTCTACAAACACCTTTGTTTACTTCTGTGTGTTGCTTGGCAACCACTTTATTGCAACCACAACTGTTTCTGATGAACTACATTGTTTGGTGGAAGAATACTGTTTTTATTAATATCATTATTTGCTCGGTTTTATTTTGTGAAACCTTAGTACATATATGGAATAACCGTTTTATAAAAGCAATAAGCCCCGTGAAGCCATGGTTTACAGTGAATTTATAACATCTAAGGGGGTTTTACTCCGCTTCGCCACGTACCTAACAACGCCCCTTAGCTGTTATAAATTCACTGTAAACCACGGCTTCTTGGGGCTTATTGCTTTATTATTTCACCCTAGCAGCATACTTCCAGTACTCCCAGCATGTGAACGGGTCAGTAATCTGAAGCTGAGATGTCTCCCCCGCTCTCCCCTGACCGACAGGACACATTCACGTCCAAGAGAGACCGCCATTGACGGCAGCTAAATGATGAAATGCTGCCATTATCAGAGAACCAAAGGCCTCGCAGCGGCCGACACCTGATCTGCCATGTCTCTCTGCGGCCCTTTGTGCCAGTATTTCATATCTGAAATATCTGCTGGCATTCAGCTGCAGTCGACAGCCAGTTTGCCATGGAGCTGCAAGAATGGGGAACAAACAGACCATCTTTACATCCCAGCAACTGGACGCATATCAGGTCAGTCATCATTTTTGATATCACGCTATACTGTTTAAAAGTTTAGGGTTAATAAGAATTGTTTAATGATTTTGAAAATGGTGCTCACTGAGGCTGCATTTATTTAATCAAAAATACAATAAAAACAGTAATATTGTGAAATATTATTACTAAATTACGGCGCCCCGCACATGACATGCAATAAAAAATTAATAAATCGTGCGCACGATTTACTAATTCATTCCCTCGATGTACTAAAACGTGCACACGATTATTATTTCGTTCCCTCGATTTATAAATCGTGTGCACGATTTAGCCTACTACCGTATTGTCCCGAATATAAAACGATATTTTTTTCTTGGAAATACATCTGAAAAAACGCGGTCGTCTTATATTCTAGACTTTGACATGTCAATAATACACCCACAACACTAGGTAGCGCCAAATACGCATAAAACGAGTGTGCCATGAAATACTAACTCCGACTGGATTCGTCTGAAAGAAGAGAGTCATATACACCTAGGATGACTTGAGGGTGAGTAATTTATGGGCTAATTTTCATTTTTGGGTGAACTAACCCTTTAATGAAGTGTTTGTATTAGCAAAGAGAAAAAACAATCCTAAAGCATTTTAGACACGCATATAGCCTGCAGACACTTGATCTTATCAAATTATATTCTAAATGAGTGATTTACGAATAATATGACGATGGCAGTTACCATTTGCCAAAATGAGTTGTCATTTATTCTGATAAGTTTTCTCTCAGCTGTTTAGGATTCAGAACTAGCGATGCCAGATTCGCTGTGTTGCCAAGTCCGCTGTTTTCCCGCGGAATTGGGATACTTTAAAGGGATAGTTCACCCCAAAATGAAAATTCTTTAATTAATTACTTCATTCATCTTAGGAACACAAATTAAGATATATTTGATTAATTCTGATAGCTCTCTGACACTGCATAGACAACAACGCAACTGCAATGTTGCGAAACCCTGGCATCAGTTCAGTTTAACATCAGATTCATTCGGACAGTTCACTCACGCACTGAATCGTTTGCAGCGGTTTCTTACTCCGAAATAGTATCAGGACAATGTATTCGACAGAAAACAAAAAGAGCAAAAGAGCGCTGGTTGAGGTGGATATTTACCTAAAATCCACTGTAGGAAACAAAACTTTCAAATGTTTTCAGTCGTTTTCAACAACGAAGCAGCTCTTTATTGCACGTGCAGCTTGTAAACGACTCAAGCAGGTAAAGACGATTTAAAATGATTTATATACAAAACTATCAAGAAGAGTATAAAAATGGTTTACGAGATGGCAATTTCATATGAATTCGTACAACGCGAATCGACAACGTACGATTTTTTTTGAAAAAAGTCCATCCCAAACCCTATGGGATTAGATCTCTGCCACAATTTTGCGCGCGAAAGATCTTATTTTGAGCGCGCAAAAGTGCGTTTTGCACTTGACAACCAATCACAACATTCCTTGCATTACCTCGACAGCAGAAGAGGAAAAATACAGTGCATGCATAATTATTATGCAAGTTGATATTCTGATCATATTTTTTTTCAAGCACATTTTACCAATTCCAAACGACATCAATCTTAATAACTACTATTAATCTTGTATTTAATCATTTATAATTGATATATAATTATTCATGAAGACTTAGCATCCTCGTCTCTGATTGGCTGGAATTATTGTAACGCTGGGTTGTGTTGAGCAAGCGAGCTGTTGGCATTTAGAGAGCATGAGGGCGGGCATCAGGTGAGCAAGCTAGTGAAACGTTGCACGCGCAAAAGAAAAGGTCTGCACACATCCAAAAACGTATTTTAAATGCAAAATAGATTTTAGTGCGCTCAAAATACTTTTTTATTTGCAAAATGAACAATTTCTCCACAAAACTCAGATCGCGCGTGTGCAAAATGCACTTTTGTGCACTCAAAATATGATCTTTCGCGCGCAGAATTGCGGCAGAGATGTAATCCCATACTAGCACCCCCATACATAAAAAAGATGAAATAAAATAAAAACATTTATTCCATGGTGTGTCTGAATACTGAATTCTGATTGGCTGGCAGGTATGCAGTAAAACCGTTTAATGCACAGGTAGTTCCAAGTGTGAAACGTTGCACGCGCAAAAGAGAAGGTCTGCACACATCCAAAAACGTATTTTAAATGCAAAATAGATTTTAGTGCGCTCAAAATACTTTTTTATTTGCAAAATGAACAATTTCTCCACAAAACTCAGATCGCGCGTGTGCAAAATGCACTTTTGTGCACTCAAAATATGATCTTTCGCGTGCAGAATTGTGGCAGAGATCTAACCCTATAAAACCCCGCCCCTAAAATAACCGTCACTGAGGCGTAAGCAGGTCGTACGGAAATGTTTACGAAATCATACGAATTAGAACCACCAGTTCATGGTCTAGATTATTTTGGAGGATTTTATTTAAGAAGAAAATGTGTTTTATGCAGGACAACCCGTTCAGGCAGAGGATCGCTGAGGTTTTTTCAGAGGATGGAGAAGGAAACATGACTTTGGACGACTTTCTGGACATGTTTTCAGTGCTGAGTGAAATGGCTCCACGGGACCTGAAGGCATATTACGCTTTTAAAATCTATGGTCAGTTTTAAACAAACATATTGCTTCTACGTAAAAATGATCAACCCTTTGTGGGGTTAGCTAAACTGGTGAGTTCATTGATTTGGAATGAATTTTTTACACTTTGTTCAACACTGAATAATATTTAAGTATTCAAAATGTGTATTGGTCAGTCTCAGGTAACTTACGTTTTTACAAGGTTACTAAGTGAAAGATGGATACATTTTCCCAGTCATGTTACCAACACTCATGAATCTTTAAAAATTTTTTAAAAAGAATTTTTAAAAGCATGTCAACTAATTCATTAAGAAAGTGTTTATCAAAAAAAAGAATAAGAGGCAGTTTCTCCTTTTTAATGAAAATCCAAACCTCAAGTTCATTATTGATTTATTTTTTCTTTAATCATGTAATTTATTGAGCATTTGTTTAAAATCTGTCACAGAAGGATGCTTTGGATGTAATAGGATAATAAATAATCACCTAAACTGATGTTCTATTTGAAAGGACCAATTTTAATTAATATTAGTATAGTTTTTATTAATTAGTTTGTCTTTTTTTATTTTATTTTTTATTCAATATTAGGCCTGCTATTAAGGTTAATTTTAAATTAGTTTTAGTTTCGTTTTTATTTCCACTAAATTTAGTGCTTTTCCAATTTTTGTTTAGTTTAAGTTTTTTTTATCTAATGTTTTAATTTTAAATTAGTTTCAACTGACACAAATGTTTTTAATAGTTTTAGTTAACAATAATAACACTAAGTCAATTTGTTCTGGCAGCGTACACGAAACCATTTGATACTATGACCTGACCTCAGACTTCTGTTCCTATTCATGTAGAGATGAACCTGCAGAACCTTAACTGACATATGAATATCAATAATTCACACGTTCATTAAAGAGGGAACTACCTATGAAAAGCATGCAGCTGTCTAATTAAACAACAGAATAAAATATCTCCGAGAATCTGATCTGCTGCTGTCATCAGAAAAAAAACCCTGTACTCATGCAACATTAACACGGGGTAAATGATAACGCTCTCAAACAATAGAGAACAATGATTTCAACAAGAGACTCTGCTGAAATGATGCATCTTATTCAGCACCGAAGGATTCATTGTTGAGAGTATTAAAAACAAAGTGTGGTGAACTATCATGGGTGCCCCATATAAAAGAAATAAAATATACTAAAAATAAAATAAAAAGATAAAAAATATATTCTAATTTATAACTATTCTAAATAATAAAATGTAGACAAATAAATAGATATTAAAAATAGTTTAATTTACGAGTAAGAATAAATAGGTCAATAAATTAATAAATCTGTAAATAATTTTTCTTTTGGCTATGCACTGTGAAATGCCTCGGGGTCTGTGAATATGCTAACTATTAGTGATAAATACAACATTATTTACAGTATTTCTTTTCTTTATTCTTTATCTAAATGCTTTTCTACATGACTAGTGCTTTTTTAAAAAAATGCTTTATTTTATTGGTAGCTTAAACTAAATTTTAAACACAATAAAAACATTTTAACAGCACCAACAGAAGTGTTTTCTAACACAGCTTACCCTCGTTCTTCCCTCTAGACTTCAACAACGATGACTTCATCTGTAAATCAGATCTGGAGAAAACCTTAAATAAGCTGACGCGTAACGATGCCGTGTGTGACACTGTGTTTCGTTGCCACAGTATGGTAAGGGGCGAAACATTTCTGTCACACGCTTGAGGTATTCGACCAATCACAACGCATTGGATAGCTGGCCAATCAGAGCACACCTCGCTTTTCAGACCGATGAGCTTTGTAAAAATCGACGCGTTTCAAAAAGGCAGACTTCAACAACGATGACTTCATCTGTAAATCAGATCTGGAGAAAACCTTAAATAAGCTGACGCGTAACGAGCTGACCGAGGATGAGGTGAGGATGGTGTGTGAGAAGGTGATTGATGAAGCTGATCTGGACAATGACGGCCGTCTGTCTCTAGAGGATTTCCAGCACATGATCATGAGAGCGCCTGACTTCATCAGGTAACAACTACACACTGTAAATGATGCTTAACGGTTTGTAGGGTTTGTTAAAACCCGTTTGGAATGAAAACTGTAAGAGAATGATGCTTTGGATTTAATTGAATAAATAATCACTTAATCTGATGTTCGGTTTGAAACATGGTTATTACAGTAAACTAAAACAATTTGTTACATGAAATAAAACTTTAACTGAAATTCAATAAAAAAGTATTTCAGCTATAGTTGCCAAGGCAACATTTCTAATTTTTAGTTTAATTCTAAAATTAAAATAAAATACTGTATAATAATAATACAATACTATATAAGAATAAAAACTATATAGATATGTAACCAAAAAATGAAAACTGAAAATATAAAATAAAAGCTAAATCAAAATATACAAATGAATAATAAAAAATTATAATAGTATCTCAGTGATACTAAACCACTGCTCTTTCCAGTCAGCGTTATTTTAGTATTTATATACTATTTTAGTTTCTTTAAAATTCATTTTTATTTTAACATTTTCAGTTTTTTTTATTTTAGTTTAATTTTTTACTTTTTTTTTATTAGTAGTTTATGTTACTATTAAGGTTTCATTTATTTTTGTGTTTCAGTTTTAGTGAAGTTTTCGTTTTTATTTTCACTTAGTAATTTTAGTGTTTTAGTTAAACAAATTTCAGTTTATTACCAAGGCCATTATTAAAGGGGTCATATGATGCGATTACAATTTTTCCTTTCTCTTTGGAGTGTTACAAGCTCTTGGTGCATAAAGAACTTTACCATTTTAAAGGAATATGCTGGTTTAATACCACTTAAACTCTAGTTTCAGCATCTATGACATTAATATGTTGATTTGTTGGGTCTACTTGCTTTTCCATTAAAGACCAACATTTGCCCCCTCGTTTTGATTTTCAGGGGCATTTTTCACCTTTATGAGGGTATATTTTTTAACAATTTAAAATCGCTGTCGATCTTATATCGATCCGATATTTCTAGCCTACTGATCAGTATCAATCAGTACTGAAAATCAGTATCACATATTTTATGTATAACATGTATAACAAGGCCTAGACTTAATATAATATTAATGATATTAAATCATTTTGAATTTCAGTGACATTTTTGCCACAAGCTGCTGCTTGTAAATAAAGATTATTGGAATACATTTAGCAAGAAATACAATGTTAGTCTTTCTACTTCAGAAGTTCACATTTAATTCTCTTGTTACTTGTTTATTTGGAATTATTTGTGAATTATTTGTGAAATTGAGCAATTTCTTAATGAAAATGGTTTCATTTTTTTCAGAGTGTGCACATTTTACATTGACTAATGAACAGTATACAGATGATTTTGATAGAGCTGGCTGTTTATGTTTTCAACCCTGAAAATGTCTTGATCTTAATACAATGTTAGTCTTTCTACTTCAAAAGTTCACATTTAATTCTCTGTTACTTGTTTATTTGGAATTATTTGTCAAATTTAGCAATTTCTTAATGAAAATTGTTTCATTTTTTTCCAGAGTGTGCACATTTTACATTGACTAATCAACAGTATACAGATGATTTTGATAGAGCTGGCTGTTTATGTTTTCAACCCTGAAAATGTCTTGATCTTTTCTCTTCTAGCACCTTCCACATCAGGATATGAAGATCATCTGGACACTGAACCACAGGAAAATTACTTTCTAAAGATGATGTAAGAGCTTTCGCTGCAGATTCAGAAGTCAGGTACAGATGTTGGCTTACATTACCAATTTAAAACACAGAAATAAAGAAGGCACCTGTACAAACATAAGAATGTATATCCAATATTAATGTTTAAAAATATATTTGAATGAAATATAAGGATTCTTAAACATAAACAAGACAATAATGTACTTAAAAGTAAAACTTATTTTTTGGGATGGCCGACAGCAAATCAACACCTAAAAAATAACTCATCCGTCAATATTAAACGCACACACAAATCCATCTCTTAAAAGAATCTTATTTTAATAAATCAAAAGTACAGATATCTACAAAAACTGTAGATCAGCTTTTCAACGTTTTAGAAAGTACAGTACAATTTAAGTAGATCTCGTTTTAGAGCTATTTACAATTGTTTCTTTTGTATACCAAAATGTAATTTACCGATCTCCCCAATTACCTCACAATCGACAAATGAAAACATGGTCATATAAAAAGAATCTGTAAATGATATGGATGACAGTCGTTTCAAATCAAGAAATACGAGAAAGAGAAACTAAACAGCAAAAACTGAGATCGACAGACGTACATATCACTGCTCAATAAACACGACGTGACTGCAAAGCCGTTTGTTAAGACAGAAAGCGGTACCTGTTTGCTAATGTTCTTTTCCACAAATGAAATAAAAAATTTTTGCCAGCTGTCTGTTATATTGTTTTTGCATTTTATCACTTTAAAACACCCTAAGGCCAGATTACATTTCGTCTGAGGTCCATTAACATTAGCAGACGGTCCTCTAAAGCTCCGAACAGACAACCAGACCAAGGCTTCAATGTACAGGACATCTATAGAAAATAACAAACACACACAGACAAAACATACAGGAGGTCAACAGTATCACCTTCATGATGCATAGATCCAAAATGAAAGATCAAGTATTAGTTATTAAGACAAACGGCAAGTTGGGGACATTATTGGACAGGGAGCGAAGAGAGATGCTGTGGGTACAGATGAAGATGGGCCGACCTCCGTTAAACCGACATACAGCTTCTAACGCAAATATGAACCCAAAACGGCATCTCCTTGAGGTGGAACGAGAACAAGGTGCAAACAGGAAGTCATTTCAAGTTGATCAACAATTAAGCTTGGAAAAAGAAAAGGAAAGTGGCCATTTTTAGGATGTGCCATATTGCAGCAAGAAGAGAATTTAATGCACTTCTGCCTCGAAAACAGTCAAACACTGTGCTTCTTAGCCTTTTAATCTCTTAAAAACACTTTCAGGTCACATTTCACCCCTAATCATATGGAATATATATATGTAGAACATTTTTGTGACATTTTCATGACAATTAACTTCCTGAATTCTCATTATGTAAAAAATAAAATAAAAATCTATTTCAATGATTTGTTTTAAAGCTGGTACAACACACACTGTCCTGATATGTAAACCGTTTTATTTTATGTATATACTTAATTTTTGTGTGATACAGTAATAAGAATCAGATTCCATTCATGGAAACAACAAAATGCAAAATGAACTGGTTTTTGGGGTGAAATCTGACCTGAATGTGTTCTTGTCAGGTTTTGTGATATTCACTTATTTGGATTTTTAATAAACGATTTTTTTTCTCTCACTCAAATCTAATGGGTGCTGAAGCTTCTGGTAGTTTCCTGACCTATTGCTGGTGAACACAACTGCACCAACTGACATGTTTCATTTTACAATATGACTACAAAATGTACATTTGCGTATACTGCGGTGCAAAGGAAAAACTACACAATTTCTCAAAATAAAGGTCTCTTGTGGCGGGTGAGTTTGACTCAGCTGATCAGTGTGAAAACTCATATTTAACTGCAGTTTGTTTTTGAAAGGCAGTACAACTCTCTAGCATTGCATTTCTTGCATTAATTAGAAGCACGTGCTTACGACAACACACTATTCAGAACTCAGGAATGGTGGATTACTGTATTCTGGGTAGTTGATCCTAGTCATATGAACCAAATCTGTTTGTTTTTACACTGTGCAACCCAAACTAATTAAGACTGATATGCTGTAGGACTGTAATTCAGATGCTACACGTACAGTCCATTCATAATACATGAGAAATATGAACAAATTAACAAAACACAACTGACAGAAGACTATTTATTCGAACTGCACCAATAGCAGCCAATGCATAAAACCAGCTATCAGGATAAGTGATAGGACTAACTCAAGACTTGTAGAAATGTTCCTTGAAAATGTTTGGTGGAATGAAAACGCCTTAATCTCAAAACGAACATGAATTCGGCAGGCCATACTCCATGTAACTATGTAAAAACGCCTGTCTTTATGATGCAAAACTATCACTTGGCACAAACTACTCAACACAAAAGATACTGATAAAGTGCATGGACTTCTGTATATGGGAGGTGCTTTCTCAAGAATAGCTCTGCTTTTCAGGTTACACAGTCACCCTTTCTCATTGCTTTTGGTTATGCATATTTGTTAACACTACAAACTCAGGATTTCCACTTCCTATCAAGGGCTACGTGTCAGTTTCATTTGATTACACTAGCCAATTCAAGTGTTTTTAATTAAAGAACGCTTTCATGTTGGGCCGTTTTCAGGTCGTGATAAAGCAAGACCTGAGTTTTGGATTTATTCGAAGGAATGTTAAAACAAAAGCTAGCGCTACTGCATAAAAAAACGGAACTATTTGGAAATAGCTTTGTGTGCATGTTTTTTTTTTTTTTTTAAAAAGGGAGGTTAGTTTTAACGAGGCAGCAAACATGTCTTGATGAATAAAAAGCAGGATCTTCATTCGTTTAATATGAAACCTTGACTGCACCAAGTTTGCGAACGCAACACTTTTGCGTAACAGGTCTGAAAAATAAAACCGGGGACAAAAACAGCTAAATGGTTTTTGTTTGTTTTTTTAAATGAAAGAAAGGAAAAAGCATCTAAGAGGTGGGTTATAATATTCCTCTACTTACAATAAGGTCATGTGATTGTCGAAGAATGCATGAGGGCCGAAAATAAAATGGAATGATAAAGTCCCACGTAACTCTCGAACTGGCTCAATATCAGATCTGCGGCTTGACCCACAATCACGACTGCTTCCAGGTCGCCACGAAGGAATGGATCAATTTTGGCAGTTGTGCGCTCAAAACGAGCGATTGAAACAAAGATGTGGGATCTTCTTTAGCCCGTTTGCTGCTGGAACGATTGCGACGATGCATCAGCACCCAGTTCTTCACCTTGACTTGTAGAACCAATGCTTTCCCACCACGGTTTCGTCGGGGAAGGGTCATGAGCGAGAGGAAGCGGCATCGCTAATCTGTCAATGGAAGAAGATAACGCCAGGAACTCCGACTGCCCTAGGGCTGGAAGAAGAGCGCGACAGAGAAGGAGAGATGGGATAAAAGAGGAAGGAGGAGGAGTGCTAAGAGGGAGAGCATAGTCCAGTCGTGTCCAGCCCACGGGTGGCGGACAGTAAGGCCTTGGTCTTCACAGTAGCACACAGCGAAAGAAGCTGCTCTTTTTCTGCTGTTCAGTGGTAATTTTCACTCCATGGTTGCTGCTCTGAGGATTGTTCCCCTCCTGTGTGAGCAAAGAAAAAAAAATAAACCTCATCAGACTCCAGATTCTCGCTTTATTACTGCAACTCAAGCTAGCCAGAAATTGTGCCAATACCGAGCATGGGATATTGGATTCATTCATCTAAAAAGGAAAATTGTGGTAACACTTTACTTGAAGCCTTTATATATAAATATATAATAAGTATTAATAATTAAATAATAATTAAGTATTTTTAATGCATTAATTATGCCTCATAATGCACTGTATGATCTTATTAATAATTAGACCGTTATAAGACTTATCTATTCACTGTTGCACCTTGAGAAAATATAATGCATATAAAAAAACAAGACAAACCAATTTCAGATGTAAAAATGTATCTTCAAATATTACAACGCATTTTAACAATTTATGAAAATATATAATGCATTAAAACATGACAAACAACCAATTGTAGATGTAACAAGGAATCTGCAAATATTGTAATGCATTTTTACTTTGGTTACAATTATTTATGAAAATGTATAATGCATTTCAACGTACATTAAAAATGCTACAAAGGCTTTAAGCAAAGTGTTACCAAAATTGTCATTATTTACAATTTAATTTATTTAATAAGACATCCAAAAGTTGACTTAATGCAAAATCAACTTATTTCCAAGATGATAAATGCATAGCAATCGATTAATCATGTAACACAGATCATGTGGCATGCATATTGTTAAAAATGTTTGTTTCATACTGTTTCACATGTAGTTGTCTCACTTGTTAACACTGATTCATTAATGAACTTAAAAAAAGAACACATTTTTACAGCAATTATTAACCTTTGTTAATGTCAGTTAATACAAATGTTTGTGTTATTCACAGTGCATAAACTAATGTTAACAGATACAACTTTTGATCTTAAAAATGCATTAGTATATGCTGAGATTAACATAAGCTGAAACGAATAAATAGTGTAGTAATATTGTTATTTGTTAGTTCATGTTAACTAATGCAGTTAACTAATGATAACAAAAGAAACCTTATTGTAAAGTGTTACCCGATTTTCAATCTAAATTCATTTTTACACAAAGCTAAAGCACAGAAAAAGAAAGTCTCACCAATTTCGTGTCCATCTTTGATTTTATGTCTCTGGCGAGCGTTAAGAATGACTGCGAGTAGAGCAGAAAACATCATTATGTCTCGATTAGACCTTTAAACGTTCTATCTGCTGCAGATATGATAAGAAAATGAAACGAGGATTAATCATAAAGCCATTTACACTTACGTTCTCAACGTTGATATTAGCCTTCGCACTCGTCTCCATGAACTTGATGCCGTACTCCAACGCCAGCTAAACGAGTACAGGCAGATTCCATTATATAAAATACAAGTATGATGATTTCTCTGGATGATTACAGACTGTTTAGCAGTTCTAGCCATTCGTGGTGATGCAGGTAGATCATTAACTAAACGCATTCTTGTGGAAGGTGGCATCATTGCTGTAGAGTCTTATACAATGAAAGTTAAGTAATATTACACCAG